GCCGATCTCTGATTCTCGGGACCGACGATAGGAAACTAAACTCGGATTGGAATCACAACGGACAGTACACTGTTCTGCGGATAAAGGCAACTTATAGATATCGAGCCAGCGTAGCGTATCTTGCATTGAGAGATTTGTGCCTTCCCGGACCACGGAGATGGAAAAAAAAGATCGCGATTCGAGCGGAGACTGTTCGGGTTCGCGGATCGTACAAGCACACATGCTCCCATAATCGAACTCCGTATAACTCATAGTGATCACAAAACGATCGCGGCGCAAACACGGATACACACGGACGTGTTTTGTCCCTATACATCACTCTCGTTCGCTCGTGGTCACGGAAGCGACGATTCCAGCGAAGTTTGCATCGTGATCTCAACTGAAGGTCGATTCCTCGCTGGTGACCACTGTTTATTGCATCGTTTCGAATCGCATCCTCCGCGATCCACCGTCGTCACCGTGAACCCCAAGAGTCGAGCCGGAGCGGATGGATCTTCGATATGGCACACGCGCGCACAGTAACTTCAATATCGATGCGTAACATCGGTCGGCAGCTTAGTTCCCGAGTTGTAGTTGTAAAGCGGGTACCGTCGACGTTATGTCTGTCTGTGCGCGTCGACAAATTCGGCCTCGCATTCGCGGAAAGTCGGCGCCACAGGGACGATCGGACGACGGAGGTAAGGTGGAGTTGGAGCGCGAAAGAAGGAGAGAGCGGGGGAGAGGAGAGCGGGCAGCTCGTCGCTCGCGAGAAGAGGACGACGACGACGGGGAGAGACTTCCTACGTGCCGGTATTCCGCGATGCACTCACGAAGGAAGGCGCTCACACGCGCTCACCCGTGCACATACAGCAGCAACGCCCTCTTAAAGAAAGCGCGGTGCGAGGGGGCCGGACGCGCGGGCTGACGCGGCGAACTCGAAGAGGGAGGAGGGGGGGAGTTTGCGCGCGATTGTGTGTAGACCGCGGTGTTAACAAACGGTACACTAATGTTTCACATCTCGGTGTGTAGCCCCCTCTTCTCGTATCTCCCCCCCTACTCTCTCTTTCTTTCTCTCTCTTTCTCTCGCTCGTCCCCGGTCACGCCGTTCCGGTCGCGGCGGTCTCGCTTCCTCGACGAGCTCCTTCGTCGCTATGGCTGTGGCGAGCGAGAGTGCGAAGTAGTAGTTTGGCGTGCCATGCACGTCGCGCAGGGTGACGAGAGAGGCAACGGCGTCACGAGTTTCAGTGGTAGTCACTCTCGCCGTGCTACAACTATCCTGGGGTGGAGGGGACGAGAACGAAGGCGGGGCGAGGTTAGTCCGCGCCCACGGAGGGGAAAAAAGCCGAGCTCCGCACCCACTGTGGCGATCTGGTGGGGAGACGAAAGAAGTGTGGAAGGGGACGATTTATCCGACTCCTCTTTGCGCTATCCCCTACACTCCACACACACCGGCACACGTGTGTATATAGGGTGCACTCACGGTGCTTCCGTGTGCGCATGCATGTGTGTGTGTGCCTTCTGCAAAAATATCGTCGCAGACAGGTATGTGTGTGCGCGCAACTGTGCATGTCGTCGATCAGTCGGCGAAAAATATTGGTGCGTCCTTTTTCCTCATCCCGCGAATCCCCTCGCACCAAAAAGGTTCCCCACCACAACCTGAGCGACGGATATACTTCCGCACCCGTGACCCGCCACCTTCAACCGCCTCTATCCGCCCCTTTCGTCGTTGGTCGCGCCGGGAGGGCGACAAGTACGCGCGAGGAGGCGAGTTCCTTGGAAAGAACTGGGCAAAACACCTCACAGCGCCTTAGCCGAAGTCCTTGTCACCGTCGCACGTTGGATTTCGTCGCGATATCGTCGGTGAACGTTTACGGATTGCGTCCAATCGGGTCCAACTGCCAATAGCCGGCGTGTCGTTAGGAAAAAAAAAAAAAAAAAGATGGATCACCCGTCCACAATATTAGGCTAGTCCGGTCAAATTGGGTTTTGGTTCTGCGGAGGAATAGTGATAGCAAGGTTACGGAATCTCGGCATGGCAATCTGACGAGATGATTGACGCCTGGAGCGCGCGATGGGACGTTCGTGCGACATTGTTACGTTAAACTGTCGGAACGAGCGTAGTACTCCGCGTAAACGCGTTCGTGTAATACGCTCGCCGAGTGACGATCGTGCATTTCGCGGTGTAAACGCGCGAGCGAGACCGACGAGGTCGCAGGTGGGAACGAGACTATGAACGGCACCCGAGTGGAAACGAGAGAGGTTGATATACGAAGGTAGAGAAGAGGAGAGAAGAGACGTGGGAAAGAGACGGAGGGACACGCCGAGAGAGAGAGAGAGAGAGAGACGGAAGTTGGTGTTGTAGTCAAGTGTCGCGTAGTGCGTGGAATAAGGAGCGGCAGGTAGCGGCATCGGAGCTGATGCCGGGCGCAGGAAGGGACACGAAGTAGTCGGCGATCTTGTCCTGGCTCGGAGGAGGAGAAGGAGGAGTGAGAAAGAGAAAGAAAGAAGACGAGACGCTGGGACTCGATGGTGGGGAGGCGTCGGGGTGTGCGGTCGTGTCCGATGGAGAGGAGACGGAGGAGGAGGGTGGAGAAGCAACGGCGGGGGAGAGGGCAACGAACAAACTACCGGGAAGAAGTCAGCGGCAAGTAAAGCAGCGCCGCCGAGGCTAAACTTCGGGATCTATCGAACTAAAATTGTCGTGTAGTTTCTGCCTTCGTGCCTCCCACCCCTCCCCCTAACCCCCTTTCGTTCGCCCCTTCCGAACGCTACCAACCGCTCACTCTTCTCGCCCCACCACACCCGAGCGTGGCAGCATCTCGGCCGGTCGCGTCCCCCTCCGTCTCATTCAACCCATCCCCTCCACGAAACGAAAGCCGAGAACGAAGAGGGAAGAAAGCGCCTACGGTGGGGCGTCACGAGGAACGAGAGACGGGTGTGCGAGGGAGCGAGAGAGCTCCATCGGGCCGCCCGGGGGCACGAGCGAGATGCAAAAACTGAAAGAGAAAAGGGGGGAAAAGGATGGAAGAGCGACTCAACGAGAGAGTGAGGAGGGGAGAAAAGCAGGGAGCGTGTTAGCCGAGCCCCACAGGCGACTCACCATATTTTATTGTCGCGTTTGCCGACGCTAACCGCCGGCTCCGTGCTCGATCGACGAGGGAGGATGCCGACGACCCGAGCGGAAAGAGACGAGAGCCACGCACGACACTCGGCCTGCTAATACGAGCCCGCGGTACGAATTTGCGCGGGTACGACGAGGTGGCGGCGGAGCGGCATCAGCGGCAGAGGTGGTGCCCGCACCCCCACCAGGACACACGCCGTGTCGACCTGGACCCTCCCACCCGTCTCGCTGAGGGCAAACCATCTCGCAAAAATCGTCCCCCTTTCCGTGGAAGGAAAAGAACCACGGCGACGACTCTGCCACCACCACCACCACCACCACCATCAGCGGCGAGTCGAGCGTTTCTCTCGTCATCGGGCCACCACCACTAGCGCGATACTATCGTCACCGCCAGCGCCACCGGCACTGTACGTACCGGGTCGCCTCCTCCTACGACACCGCGATCAACCGTCATCTCGCGGAACTCGTGGATACGACGGAAACTTACAAACCGCGGCCACGTCCTTTCTGCCGCGTAGCGAGGATACGTGCCGCGATCAGCGCGTCTCTCTTGTCATCTGACCCCGGTGAAAACTCTTTTCGAGCCAGAGTTTTACATTATCAAAAGTGACAATCGCGTATTAGTGTACACCGGAGTAATGGGTAGACCTTGAATTGGATTTTCAAGTTGGGCATCGCTTGGATAAAGAAGAGACTTTACGGAAAAAGTGTGAGAGGGGAAGAGAGAGAGAGAGAGAGAGAGACGAGCAAGGGAGGGAAAGACAAGAGGGAGGACAATAAGGCGAAGCAGGAACAACGGTGTGTCTGTTCCTGATCGTTGTCTTGTGTGTCGGGACGCAAGAGCGTACAACACGCGGCGGAGCCCGCGTCAGTTCGTACTTGGCGCTTTCGCGGAGCGCGCGATCGGTAGCGCCACGAAGAGCCACGATCGGCGACCGGTCTTCAGCGGCGGCGGTGGCAACAGCGGACGAAGAGCCGAAGAGGAGGAAGAAGACACGCTCGCCTCTCTTTCGCGAGTTCGAAGCGCGTGATTGCGCAGACCGCCAGGCGACCGGCTGCGTGGAAGGACCGCGAAGGATAAAAAGAGACGGCCAGTGTGCGCGATTCACGTCGTCCTCACCATCCTCCCTCACACACACACATTCATACTCTCTCTCTCTCTCTCTCCCTTCCTCTCTTTCCCTCGTTCGCTCTTCTCCTTCTCTCTCCATTCGCTCACTCTTCCTCCGTCCTCCTCCATCGTTCCTCTCCTTTTTCAGTGGTGTCCCTCCGACACCCTCACTCGCTACTATCTCTCTCTCTCTCTCCCCCTTCCGCCCCCGCTCAGCCTGTCCCTCTTGTGTTCGCGCTCGCTCTCTCTTTCTCTCTCTCCCTCCTCCCTCTATCCCGTCTACCCACTTCGCTGCCTCTCGCCGTGGCCGTCTCGCTCGCGCCCACGGCCGTGCACCTCCGCCTTCCTATCCGCCGAGCGAAGGACTGGATTCCGTCGAAAAGAAACGACGATTCGGAGGATAGTCGCGACCGATCATAGCTGGCGCGGTGATCGGATCAACCGAGTGAACTAGCCGCCGCGATTAACCGCATCGGGCGCGTACGCACGGCCGCGCGACACGTACGTACGTGTAGTAACACGTACGTACGCACCACCGTACGTGCACCGTACGACGACGTGCGTTCACACCAGCACGTATCTCGCGTGCGCGCGCGCGCGCGCTGCGCGTGTCCGTGCCGCGCGTCGCGCGACTTTTTTCCGCGACGTGTCGGTACCGCGACACCCCGACAGTGTGCCGGCGGCGCTCTCTCTCTCTCTTTCTCTCTCTCTCTCTCTCTGTCTGTCTATCTCTGTCCGCGGGAGGACAGACCCACCGCCGCCGCGCGCCTCCCCTTACAAGCGGAGCGCGAGTGTGACCACAGTGCGTGCGGACTGTTGACGACTGTCGGCTGACAGTTCGACTTCCCTGTGGAGTACAACGACGCGCACCGGCCGCGACGACGACAACAACAAAGCGGTCTTCCCGCGGAAGACTGCCCATCCCGAGGAGCGTCCGGTCTCCGTGCTACCGCCGATTTGCCAGCGTCGCGAGTGACAGTGCGTGTGCATATGCCGGCAGCGGACCGCTTGGCAGGATCGCAGTCGGGCACCGAGCCGCGACGACGGAGCACGCGGGAGTGTCGGCGCGAGTAGCACCCCCCGGGGGTGGCGCAGCCACACGCGACAGATAGAGGCTCCTCTCGCACTCCGCGCGCCCCTGCGGTATAAGCGCATCGCGCTAGTGTGGGAAAGAAAAGGAGAAAAGGAAAGAAAGAGCGGAAGTGTGACAGGTAATCCGGGGTGACCGACCGCGCACCGGGAGCGCACGCGACCTGGCCGCGGACTGGAAAGATGATCGCGTAGCGGTGCCCGACCAACACGGCCCTGAGCGGCCGACACATCATGTCACAGTTCTCTTTCCGAGGATCGCCAAATCTACAGGTGAGCGTTCGCTCTCTCGCGAAAGAAGCCGCGCGTCCACTTGCGAGTCGAAATCGCGAGCGCGCCACTCCTCATCAGTCGGCTCTCGTCAGCTCACACCGATCGGCACCGCCGGTGGAGGAAACGTGTGCGAGAACCGCCGCGCGACGTACACTCGCAAGTGGATGTGCACGAGAGACGTTAAACTAGAGAGAGAGAGAGATTTGCCACGGCGATGCTCGGCTCGTGCGCGGCGGGACGCCGGGAGAAAGTGTCTGTGACTGACGCGCATGATAAGATAATTCGATAAGACCGCGATCGACGCGGACGCAGGCTCGATTAGCGGCGACGCCGCGGGCGGGTGTGCGAAGCGGAGCCGATCGTTGTAATTGGCGGGGCGCGTCCGCTAATTCATCTCGCCTCGACGAAGCGGGCCGCCCAAGAGTTACGCGTTGTTTCATTTACAAGGTACCTTTCGGCAATTACACGACGGATAAGCGAGCTCCCGTCGACACGGAATCGGTGCACGACCGTGGAACGGAGGATGTCGGTCTCTCTCTCTCTCTGCGATTTTTAACGCTTCAGCGAGAACAAGAAGAGAAAAGAAAACACGACAGCGATTAATGCATTATTCTGATTACACATTACACTACATTATAAGTTATTCGCAGCGCCTTTGTAACGATCATAATAAGTCGCGTATATGTCGCAATCGCGATGCAAAGTGGTCAATTGAATATCAGCGAAAGACCGCGCGTTATGTAAACGTCTCGACGGTGCGCGACATTATACTCTATTTTTCTCGCTCATTTGTATAACAAACGTTTGTTTCGTTGTATAATAATCGAAAATAGAATGAGCATCCGCCCGCGTTCGCGATTATTTTCGCTCGATATTTCAGAGCGATTTCTTTCAACGAAAACTGCCAACGTAGAGTGAACATCGCGCGATCTTTTATTTCGTGGCGAACTGGACGGAGTAAAAAGTCCAAAATGTCAACATTAATTCATCAATGAGAGACTTGTTGAAATCAACGACGAAGACATAAAGCGCCCGAGGTTTCCCTTTGTTCCGGTCGGTCACTCAGCTTTTCCTCTGTCTCGGTTCGACCTGATGTAGATTTGCGCGAGCTAAAAGACGGGTCTCGGAGAGACAAGCGTTACCGTTGCGGGCGTTCGATCTTACATCGGCGACTGATCCCGTAGGGAAAGGCGCACCCAAGATATATCGCGACTTATCTGCTCTCATCTGGGTGCTCCCGCGAGAAGACAAAGCTCCCGAACGGTCGCTTTCTGAGGACGGCGAAATAAGTTGCCGCATACCAAGCGAAATAATCGGTGCGGCTACACACCGAAAAACCCACTTGTGGTCCACTCAAACGAAACTCCTGCTCGGACACGGGCAAACAACAAATGTTTTGGTTGTGAGTACCAAGTCTGATTCTCTGAAACGAAGGTGAAAAAGATTTGGTTCAGAGAATGAAACCTGGACTCTCGCAATCGGAATATCCGTTCGCTCATGTCCGAACAAGAATTTAGTTTGAGTTTCATCTAAATGGGTTTTTCTTTGGCGCAGACTACGCGCTAGAAAATACCGGATCTTTAGAAAGGGGAGATCACCCGACGCGATCTTCTTTTCGTTCCTCCACACAAGTCGCAGCAAGCGAGACACGTATCCGCGCGTACAAATCTAATGCTCGATCGTACTTGCGACATACAATCGAATGACTATTTCTTCCTCCGTGCCTCGAGTTTCTTACGGAATATAATCGCGATCGCGCATTTTCATTCATATAGACTTAGGCCGGTGTAATTCAACCGTGTTATTTGAAAGTAAAATGTAGTTAATGATCAAACGCTTAGGTAACGTGTATGTGCATACATATGTTACCTTCCATATGGCCTCGTGCGCGAACACACGCACACACACGTACACACCGACACAGGCCGCTACGTGTACGCGCACACGTTTGCGCGCGACAAATGCTTTCCTTATTACTAACTATTATAACGATCGCACAAGGCGAAACATTGTCGGCGCGAAGTCACCTCGCAATCGCGCCGGTTAACCACGACACCGTCAACGTCGGGCAGAAATTAAGATTGGCTAATTTCGGATCGCGGACCTGTTGGAAGCAATAGTCAGGCAAGCAGGCAGGCGGACGGGAGCAGTTTCGTTACTAATGATTTTCGCCATTAAAATCACGATGCGTGAGACGCGTCGTTAGCCGTTTAACTCTACGCTCGTTTCGGCCTCGCAAGGCGTATCGAATAATTTGTAGGGAAGAATCCCTCGCGCGCACGGAGAGAGAGAGAGAGAAACGCAGATAGAAAGGGATAGATAGACAGAGAGAGAGAGAGAGAGGAGGGAGAGGGTTGCGAAAATGAATAGCCGCTGGCAAGCCTGAGAGGTTCCGCACCACGTGTCCTGACACGCTGCGCATATAGGTATAGCTCGCATATATGCCGCACATAGCGCTGAACTGAGAACATGTGTTGCCACGCCTAAATGATCGAAGAGCCCCGAGCTCGGCGGAATAATTATCTTGTCTTACTAACAACGAAGGTTTTTGTCATAATAGCAGCATCGCATGCTGCCGCATTTCGCCCGTAACTCGAAAGTGACAACCGATGCGCTCACCGCTCGCGCACAGCACTTCTTTTCCGTTCTGTGTGTGGTCCTCCTGCTGCTTCTTCTTCCTTTTGCCCTTCTTTCCTTCATTCTTCTCCCTCTTTTCCCTCTTCCATTTCTCGTAACACAATTTGCGAGGAAACGAACGTTAAAATTCGCGAGCGAGCTTTCCGCCGATGACACGATACCTTTCCGTCACGCGAGCTCCGAGAGCTCGAGACGTCACTGTTAGCGCGAACAAATCGACGAAGAGCGTGTGGTAACAAACGCATGAGCGAGAGATTCGTTCCGGGATGAATATCGTGGAGACGACGATGACGATAAAGAAGAAAGAGGCGGCGGCGAGCGCGCAACGAGTCGCGCGTTACATGCGTTTTGCGCTGATAAAATTGAACGGCCGGTTATCAGAGTGTGTCACTCCACTTACAGGCTCGGAGTCAATGGGGAAAAGGAGACAGAAATCGTGTTAGCCAATGTACTTTATCGCCGACACACTTTCGATAGACGCGAAGTCGTTAAACAATAATGTGTCAACTGCCGAGCCGATTTTTCTTCGATTCTCTCTATCAAACGTCCGCATGTTGTCGCACGCGTACACTTACACGTAACGTTCGTGGGACGGGCCGAATCCACGATGGAATATGCGCGGATCGTTCCCGCAGAGGTGTGTTCTCTCTCTCCATGCTTCCACTCGTCGGGAACGCAGTTTTTTCCATCCGTGACGCAGGACCGAAGTTGCCTGATAACGAAAGAATCGGCCGAAAACACGAGGAACATCGGTCTTCGTGCTCCCGTTAACTCTCCTCGTTATCTCGGCGCCCTTATTAATTAAGGACCGCTTATCGCCTTATGTCGATCTCAGTAATTGCCGCGTATCAGTGACGCAACGAGCAGTGTCCGGAGAAACTGTTGGCGAGCCGTGAACGAATGACACACCTACACGCACATACTCAAGTTAAAATTTATCATCGCGTAAATTTATCATCGCTAAGTGTTCGCAGGTGGGCGCAACGAATTCCGACTTCGAGTTGACATTTCGCTTCTTCGTCCGGTTTATTTTTTCCTCTCCCGTTCCATTGTTTCGTTCCTCTCGTCCTCCGTTTTCTTCTCTCTCTCTTTTTTTTTTATTGCATATTACACGTGACGAGTATCTATCCAGACTTGGCGAAACGAGCGAAGTGATATTGGCATTGACCACCGCTCAAATTAATCCGCCGCACGTTGATCCGACACGTCTCGGGCGACGCGAACGCGCGACGACGACGTGGCGCGCGGATGTTCTCGCTCATCGTTTAATTCCGGCTTGAAAAATTGTCGCGCCATAAATACGACTGTCCTTTTTTTAACGCCGTGAACCGCGACACTCTGCGACCCGCTCGCTCGCGACACGGCGCGACTCGGCGTGGCATTAAATTTAGACCGCGCTGGAATTCATATCACTAATCTGTGTCGGTCAATTTAATTGAAATAACGACCTCTTCGACCTGGCGCGCCCGTGTTCTCACTGTCGTGCTCTCTCTCTCTCTCTCTCTCTCTCTGTTTCCCCTTCCTCCCTCCGGCTCTCGTCGGAGATTTATTTTTGGATTACACCACGAGAGGAGTGCGTCGAAAGAACGAAAGAACCGAGGTGTCGACGTCGTCGTCGTCTCCGAGAGCAGCCGCCTAAAGGCGATTCCGTCGCGGTTAACCTTGCCGTCGCGCTTCCTTCTCGTCGAAAGGTCGCAATACACACACCGCTGAACTTGGAGGTTAACCAGCGACCGAAGTGATCTGGCTGTGAAAAAAGAAAAAGAGAGAGAGAGAGAAAAAAAGAAGTACAAACGCGTGAGAAACATCGATAATGGCGAAACTCGCGTGGAGTGTCTCGACGATGAGAGCCACCTTGACACACAATCCAATACACTAGTTATGACGACAGCGAGATTAGACGGCGGCGATGGTTGATAACGCTGCACTAAATTAACCCAATTGCGGACGAAGATGAATCGAATATTCGCCTGGAGGCGCCGGCGGACTCCGGCGTCGTTTAGCCTTTCGCCGCCACCGCGAGTTTGAAATATACGAGTTCCGGAGTTATTGGGCGAGCCATGAGTCAGCCGGGGGTGACTTTTGCAAGCGAAAGAATCGGATATAGTGAGAGATAGATTGAGAGAGAGAGAGAGAGAGAGAGAGAGAGACGGGAAGAGAGAACGAGCGTTCCGTAAACGTAATTCGTTCGCGAATGGATTACTCGTGGACGTTTCTCACTCGGCGAAACGCTCGGAATTCGAAAGAGCGAGCGGATCGAAGCTTACCCCGCGCCGACGCGCGCTCGCTGCGATTTCACTTCGGGTGCACAGACTCGTTAATTCGTTTCGTAAGATCAGGTCGGTCCGTCAGCCGGCGACGTG